AACCAGTAAGCTTCAGAACCAGCCCGGACAGTCTCATTCAAAGTCATTTAAATCTCTTTCCTTCCCTGTTTTAATGCTCAGTTTCATCAAAATGAAGACATGGTCATGGTCAATGGGCCTCCATGTTGCTACCATGTGATTGGCTGATTGCGTATTTGCCTTAGTGAGCAGTTGAACAGGTGTACCTAAAAAAAATGAGGAGTGTTATGAATGAAAAGTTTTTTCAGTCTTATCAAAATAACAGGTTTGGTGTTTCTGTAATAGGCATGTAATAGTGAATGACATCAAAATCAAGAATTCAGGCAATGAAGGCCTCATCCATAACTTCAACTCTTCTCCGTTTGTCATCCTTCTGTTTTTTAATACAACAAGTCTTCCTGCCCTCACTCACTTTCTTTTTCCTATCATCAAGTTCTCCTCTTCTCTATTCCTGTTCACTTCTGTGTTTAATCAACTCGCTGTGAGTTCAGCCAAAAAAGAGACAAGAGGGGCCCATCTGAGTTGGAAAGGACAAAGAAGGCTGATAGACCTATTGAAAGTGGGATACCACCTAAATTAGCTGTAAATAGACTGCGAATCGGCTGCTTTAATAACCCAGGAGGAAGCTGATGACCAGGAGGTCACACAGTTGCCATGGTGATCAGGTAGTCAACATGACACGACAATAAACTGAAGCACCCCATTAAAACTCTTGGACAAGCCTTTTCTGGTGAAAAGACTCTGTGCCAAGACTGCGAGCAGCTTGGTTGATGTGTCGCTGCTGCTGCTGTGCTGTTACTGCACCTGTGTAACATTTTTATCTTTGCTGTAGTTTTAAACAGGAAAATTATATTTCATCGCATGTCTAAATAAAGGATACGTCTGCTGAAATTCAGCACTTTTGTGATCGTCAATAAAAAAGATGATCAAGCCAATGATTAACCAATCTACCACCATGTTTTGGTGGGGCACTCGGGCTCAGAAGGTAAAGTTGGTCCTTGTCTACTCTTGTCTGCATGTTGAAATGTTCTAGAAAAAAGTAAGATACAAAGGTTTGCAAAATGGCATTTTAGTGTGAAAGTGCTTTAAATGGTCAGTAAGGCTAAAAAGTACTGCATGAACACCAGTCTATGCAACATTACAATTTACACCAATCAATATTTTTGGGTCTTGTTCACGAAGGATGGAAGAGTGGATGGTACATTACTCTGCTGTCGTAAAGAGAGGCGAGTGTGAAGTCAAAGCTGATAATTTACTGGTCGATCTATGTTTCTTCCCTCAGCTATGGCCATGAGCTGTGAGTAGAGATGGAAAGAATAAGATCACAGATACAAATAGCAGAAATGAGCTTTCTCCACAGGGTGCTGGGACTCAACTTTAGAGCTAAAGTGAGGAGCTTGGTCATCCAGGAGTGTTTAAAGAAGAAGCACTAATCCTTGAGGAGCTAGTTGGGGTGATTCGAGTATCTGACTTTGGTGCCTCCTAGGCACATCCTAGGGGAGATGTTTGGAGCATGAGCTCCATCATAGGCTGACCCAGGACACACTGTCATAGTCCCTGGGTCTTGGACCTAGGGTTTTGAGTTTCTAG